TCACTGAACTTCTCTCAAACGACTGGACCGATTTTGATGAAATTTTTTGTGTGTGTTCAAGGGGATCTGAGAATGGTTTAGATTCACAATTTGAATAATAATTTTCATCAAAATGGTCCAGAATGTTTTAGCTTATTAAAAAAAGTTCGAAATTTTCAAATTAAAGATGTGTAGACAGGATAACGTCTGTCTGATCAGCTAGTATGTGATATACCTATTATAGTGCACAAGTGAATGCGCAGACACATTGCCCTCTCTATTACTGTCAATCTCATACTCTGGTGGGACGATAATTCGACACGACCAGTGAGACATGTACCTAGTGTGTAGACGATGGCTTTACATGCTCTCCGAGGCACGGAGATGTAACACCGCCAACTTCCCATATACATAATTTGTTTTAGTTAAACTAGGTGATGTATATAAAGATGTAATTAGTAATTATGAATAAATAATTAAAATCTATTCGTTCTAAGAATTAGACAAAGTCGGGTTTTATTCTCTCTCGTATTCAGCCTTTTTTTCAACGTCCCACTAGGCGTAAACCAACAAGCTTGTAGGCACGGGCCTACAAGGGCGATGTAGCTATAGTCCACGTTGGCCAAGTCCAGGTTGGTAGACTTGCTAGGTACTCTCAGACATGCAGTTTTCCTCAATATAATATTTTTCTTCACCGTAAGACAAGTCGTAATTAAGCAGGAAACGATTCGCACATGATAATATCAGAGGTGCGAGACCCGGAATTTGAATCCACTTCAATTGGTTTTCCAAGCAAGCGCGTTACCACTGGGCTACCATTGCCTTTATTCATTATAATATATAACCATTATAATATAATATTTAGCATATTTTTCAAATTAAATAAACATAATAACACACAATTTTCAAAATATATACAAATTTAAATATTAAAATTAATAGTTGCTGTTAAAAAGCAAAGTATGTTTATTATATTATTATTTATCTATTTCTCTGTCAAAGTAATCGTTAGTTACATCATATTTTTATCTATCATATTATATAATATTCTTTTGTATGAAATATCAAGTAACGAGATCTATTTATGTTCTTATCTGAAAAGCCAGTCAATGATAACCTTGTAACGGTAAACCGTTCTTAGAAATCTTATCGAAACCTGTAAAAGTATAAATTCTATCAACTGTAAAGTGATATGGTTTTGAGTTGTCATGTTGTAAGTTGAGCGTTAGTGGGGGTCTGACATAGCAAGTCTAGTGAACAGATGATAGCAAATTCGATTTTGCCATTAATATCATCTTTAAAAGGTGTTTTAATATTGTGTTTCTATTATTATAGATAAAATAAAATATTGTTTTTAAATATTTTTGGTGTAAAACACCTAATATGACGGGTCAAACCTGCAGTTGGTATTAAATTATTATGTATTTTTAAAATGGAGGCTTTTTCTTTATAAAAAATCTGAATATTTTATTTTTGATTATACCATATTTACTGCCTTTAAAAACCATCCTGTCATGGATATTTTCTATATTATATGTATAGAGTTACAATGTTTCACATCTGCCAGGCGTCCCTCGACGGCCTTTTTTTATATATCTATATAGTACAAGGAAACAAGTTAAGAAAATACTACAAAATAGTGGAGGCTCGAGCAGTTATTTATACACGGAATTTATTTTTACACAAAAATGACTATTTTTTTTGTTCATCATAATATAAGCACATAAAGGTTACTGCATGTAATAAACGTTAAACAATATATGTAATTTTAATCACCTTTAACAGTTTACCGTAGTATCCGAATTTCTATAGCGACTAAATAACATTAATGAATCGTTCTTCTTATTTTGTTTGAATGAAATTATCAAAAAATTTTGCATTGGAAAACAGAGTATCGATACCTTGTATCAAGATTTTCTCCAATTTGCTAGATGAAATTCATATTTTACAAAAGATATGGCATACCAGCCTAACAATAAACCTCTTTAATCAAACATTTTTAAACTAATTAATTATTAGTAATGTAACTTCTTAAAGCCCATCATTTCCAAGATAATGAAGATCCAATTTCTACTTAAGTTTTAACAATTAATATAATCTATACAATCATCCAAAAGTTATCTTGTTGAAGAAAAAACCTGAATTAAAAGAGTTTTTAATTTAAAACTTAAAAAACCTTTTTTTTTATTATAACCCAATTTTATTAGCAACAGAACGACAATAAACAAGACAGCTAATAAAAGACACGTCTAACAATACTAGAAAACAATGAGGCATCCTACATGTTCCGGTAATTTAGAAGAAAGCTCATTACCTTGTAAGCACATCCGATTGTCTAGCTAAAAAGCCTTGCAAACATAACAAATTACTACCAATCTAAATTAGACCTTATACTGAAATAGTACAGTTGAAAATAAGCTAAAAAACAAGTCCAAATGAAATATATTGTTCTAAGAATACCAATAGCCGTAATTAAGTTGTCAGCGTCGTTGAAACAAAGAAGTGCCTTAGAAATGGTCAATATTAGCTCCAATGATAAGTGGGGCAATTGACAATGATGGAATCTGATGATATCATCGAAGTATTAAACGAATACTAATGATCTTGGCTTTCATTTAAAATTTTGTATGTAAAACTTAAAAATCTATCTAATTCTCGTATAAGACTACTTAGCTCGTATAACATTACTTAATATCGAATATATTTATTTTTAACCCCCGACGCAAAAAGAGGTGTGTTATAAGTTTGACGTCGATGTCTGTCTGTCTATCTGTGCGTGTGTCTGTCTGTGGCATCGTAGCTCTCAAACGGATGGGGCGATTTTGATGCGTTTTTTTCATTTGAAAGCCAGTTTCCTTGCGGTGGTTCTTAGCTATGTTCGGTTTATATCGGTCCAGCAGTGTAAGAGTATCAGCTCTTTTCCAAAATGATGTAAGGCATTTTGGCCAATGATTACTCGATTAAGTGCTTCACGCGTGCCAGTGTAATCGTTCGTTGCGTAGGGTTTTTTTTAATTTTTTATTATCTGTAAACAAAACGAACGATGATTTTGCTAAATAATACCGATATCTATGTTTCTATATGTCTATTTAAAATACCCTTGATTTGTAAAAAGTATTCTTAACAGAATATACTTTTTAATTATACTTGTACATGGGAAGTAATACCAACAGCATAGTAATTGTAAGTAACATACACGGCTGTTTTATTTACGTTATCTATGGCGTTATCTTCTTAGGAAGAAGACTTTAATTAATATATCTTAATATATAAATTTTCCAAGTTTTAATTAAAAAAAAACAAAATCGAATAAGAAAAAATATTATTAATTGAAAAAACCCATGTACATCAATTAAAATACGAATTTTGGTATGACATTGGTAATTTTGGTGTGGCATTACAGTTGCGTCAATAATACTCTTTGTAAAACCCAAAACATATCCAGGTAAATTTGTAAGAAATTAATTACATTTCTAAGAAATCTATTGTTAACTGTCACGCCGATGTGTCCGCGGTCGTGGAGGTATTAAAGTGTTATGCGCAAGCGCAAGAATTTCAGCAATACCGTCAATGAGTCAGTCACGACTACATACCGTCGAGTACATCACAACACTAAATTATAAAATATCCAATTTTGAAATAAGTATAAAATGATAGAAATGTTTATACAAGTGACGAGAAGAAGTATACAAATTAGAATTTTTATTACTTACGGCATACGGCCCTACCTACGGCTCTGCCTAAGATAGTCGCTTTCGCACTATTTGCAATTGCCAAAAAAGTTAAATATGTCAAGTCAAAGAGGCTGTGTAATGTTATTTTTTAACGTGTTGAAAAAATAAGCGAGAAAACAAAAACAAATCTATCCCACGGAAACCGTACATTTTTCGGGATAAAAAGTAGCCTATGTGCTATTCCAGACTACAATCTATATCTGTGACTTTCTTCCACAATCGTACAGCCGTTCTGGCGTAATTAAGTAACAAACATTCATCCATTAGTAAGAACTAAGATAAAATACATAATCAGCCAAATATATAACAAAATCACTATGTTATGTCTTTAAACAACATTCTTATTCATTTATCTTTTAATATTTTTGTTTAAATATGCAACTCATACAATAAATGATTTTTGAGCATTTACGTAACTCATAAATATGTATAATTGTTAAACTGCTGGTAGACCTTAATAAATAAAATAGAAACCGACTTCCAGGCACTAAAATGTAAAAAAATTTCATTTAGAATAGATAGATACCTAACCAGATATTTTCGAAGTCGGTGCCAGCCGATGCAAAGCAAATCTAATATATTTCAATACGTAAAATACATATTTACCTATAAGATATTCATATCTTAAAATATAGTCAGCTGGCACCGACAATTCTCTTTTTGTTTGTAAAGGAATGCAGCTAACTTCATCGTGTCGGTTTTTGGGCTGTCGGTGTGCGCGCGCATCATAAAAATTTTACTCTCATATTTTTTTCCAATAAAAATATATAAAATAGATATGTATATTATGTATGTAAAAAAATAATAGTAAACATATGGTAAATTTTGTAAATAGCAACACTGTGTTAACATTAGATATAATGTATAGATTATAATTTTAAGCATAAATATACAAATTCTAATTCGAATAATTCGTTCGAATTTCAAATCGAATCCGTATTAACAGTGAAAATTTATTTAACAACTAGGTACTTTAGCGTCTTGCTTGTTGTACAATTTCTCTGTCTAGTAATAAATCTAAAAACAACATAATTTAAAGCTTAATTAGTTAATAGGGCTGTTAACGGTTTATGTTTTTTTCACATAAAAATGGAATATTTTGGCAAATGTGGGTTAGCCAATTCATCACTCTTATTGATCAAACGTTTTGACGTCTCAAGGCGTTAACGTGCTCTACTCATAGATAAAATAAACTAATCTAAATATATTTATAATGTGCCGACGTATTTGTTTAAAAATAATAAATTTCAACATATGAATAGTAATTTTTATATTATTTTGTTTTAGGATCGCGACAGCAGTTTGTCAGTTCCAGCTCGATGGGAAGATAGGAACCTAAGAAACTATCTGAATAAACACGATGTCGGTGAGTCAAATTAAATTTCAAATTTCACATTCTGATTTGCTGTTTTACGGGAATAACGCATGACATTCCTAAATAATTAGGTATATATTTTGGCATAATACTAAATAATCATGGAGATAATAATAAATATTTACAGAAAAAAACAGTCGTTGGATAGGTGGTATCTACGACCACACATCAAAGGCGTGGAAGTGGGGCGGAGAGCTACGCGAAATGCACTATCAGTCCTTCTCCAAGATGAAGAAACTGTCTCCAGACGAGTTGAAGTGGCACTGTATAGCTATGGCTCCAGAATTGCTGTACAGGTAAAATAATATTTTTATATACATAACATTTCACCTGCACGACTGTCAGAAGTAATCTGTAGTTCAAATTGTAATGTGAACATCTCATATTTAAATTTAGGATTTTTTTACGAACATGTAACCTTAAAAATACTAACGCAATGAATTATGACTTATAGCTTATTTCAATGTAATGAATGAAAAGTAAACCGGTACTTAATTTCTTTAAAAGATAACTTCCATACAAACGGTCGCATTTTTGAATTGTAACATTAATAGTAAATATCTAAAAGGCTTCTTCTTCTTCCTGCTTACTTCCCAATCACTTGGGAAAAAGAAAAAGATCTATAAGGCTATAAAGGGAATTGTGTCATTCTTTAATTACAGGGTTTTATTATTTTTTACACTTATTCCAGTCTAGATATCTCTATGATAATTAATTTTCATACTCCATCTTAAAACGTTTTAACTTGCGATACGATAATGTCGTTCATTCATCAAGTGATTTTCGTCTTAAATAGATGTATTAATTTATCTAAAACCTGGACTTTATATCGCCTTATTTATTGCCTATGCAACGTGTTTTGGATTTCTATTGTTAAGGAAGACATTGATAGATTAACTTTCCTGATCTACCGCTTGTCAGGATGTCCGCCCACTCTAAAAGTCGTCAGAACCTGAGATTAGCGTCGTAGGATATAGCACTCATTAGTTTCTATCTCGAAATATCTGCATATTGTCTATAACACAACTATAAATATTAAAATAAAAACCTGTTTTTAGTTTATTGTTTTAGCACAAACAAATTGTAACGATAAATTATTTCTCGAAATATTCCACACTAGCATTGCCCGCGGCTCCGCCCGCGTTCAGATGACTAAAAACCAAATTCTTAGGTTTTACATATTAGAATACTCTTAAAATGCAGTTTTTGTATATTTTCTCAGAAATGGGATATTTTCCCGCGCTAAAAAGTATCCTATATGTTGACCCGGATAACCAGCTATCATCATACCAAATTTCATCAAAATCTGTACAGTGGTTTCCTCGTGATGCGGTAACAGACAAACAGACAGACAGACAAAAATTCTAAAAACTATAGATTCAGACTCTGTATCGATAATAATGCCTATTTCAATTAGATTTTCCAAAAAATATTTAATGTACAGATTCGACTTAGTTACAATTTTATTATATGTATAGTTATATAGTGCTTTTAAATGAAAATAGCATTAGCATTTAGACGCAAATGTCCACTTCGTGATGAAAATAAGCGTGGGGGAATCAAGGTCGAGGGGAGCGGAGCGTGACACACAGCCGATTTGGGCCCTAAACTTAAGAAGCTATTCCAATAAAACCGAATACGAAATATTGTGGTCGGACGACTCATGTGTTAAGAGATAGCGGAAACGCAAAATGAACGATCAATGTAAGAAAAATGTTTGCTGGTTTATATTTACCTTTAATTTGATAATAAACAAATAAATATTTTTTAATTTTCTCTGAAATAGACCGTAAAAATAATCTAAAATCTTTAATATAATCTGTGTAATGTATCAATATACTTATGATACCTATATTAAAAATAAAACGTTTTATTGAGTAGGAATACCAAATACTACTTGTTTAATACTATGAAGTATGAACCGACTTGCTTTTGTGTTTAATGTGCACTGATTTATTGACGTGTGCTATTTTTTGACCAATATATAAAAACATTGTGTTTGGAAACTGCAATAAAGAAACAAAGTATTTGGTATTAGTACGCTTATAAATTACACCAAAGAAAATATTAGAATAAAACGATCGGTTAACGATTATCGTTTAACAAAGAGTTACTGCGAAATCGATAAAATTTAACGATTCAATTCGTGTTGAAAATAGCGTAGGGCTATTGTAAAGCCCTTAATATGGCAGATGGCGTGTGTCTGGGGAAGTTATTTGAAGATTGCTTTAATATAAATCGAAATTCAGATTCAGTGAAATATTTGTAATCTATATTGTTATCTACTTGATTAATCCACAGCCTCTATACTTGTTTGATCCACAATTATAATTTACAATGTTATATATAGTAGAAAATAATCTTTTTTCTCTAAACTAGCAACTTAACGCGCTTCGCTTCGCTTACTTCGCTTCGGGTTCGTCCCTAGACAAAAACAAATCTATCCCCGGGAACCGTACATTTTTCCAGGATCAAGACAATAATCTATCTGTAAGCCAAATTTCATCCAGATCCGTTCAGCCGTTCTGGTGTGAAAAAGTACCAAACATCCATCCATTCATCCATCCATCCTCACAAACTTTCACATTTCTGATATTGGTTTGGATGGGAATACCCCGATTTTAAAACTAATTTGTTACAATTGGATTTTTTCTAGCAATTTTCATACGAATGCTCTTTGAACCTAAGCTTTAAAAATAAAAAAATCATGAAAATTACTTTTGGTTGAGCGTAACATTATAAATATTATAAACAAAAAGTCGGCACCCAACTTAAATACGGAGCGAGGGCGAGTTGCTAGTATTCTAATCGGGGGGCACGGCAGTGCCCCCGCCAAGTCGAGCAAACAAGTCGAGCAAAAAAGGGCACGGCAGTACCATCCTTTTCTCGAAGGGATTCAGAGCATTTTCCACCCCCCCATAACTTCGTTATGGATAAAGCTAGAAGCTTGAATTTTGAGTGACTAAGAGAACATAATAAAACTAGGTACATTTCCAAATTACATTCAATTTGAACCAGTAGTTTATGAACTGTTGCAGATCAAAATTCGTTAATATCGTCACTCACTCACTCACCGATCATCAAAATTCTAAGGTACTTCTAGCAGACATAGAAAGTTCAAATTTTGAACACAATTCGTGTTTACTCTATAACCCAAGGAAAAATTCAAACATCACGCAATTTCAATCCTGTTTTCGAGATATACAACAAACTGCATTAGTAACTTTGTAATCCTATACAAATAGATATGCGATATATGGGATTACAAAGTTACTTGTGCAGTTCATACATATAATTGTCGTCACTTGCAATGTAAAAGGAGGTTAGGTTAGTGTTTAACCTGTATGTATGTTTGTATGTTCGATCCTATGTTCCCTCGTAATTACTAACCTAATCACGATTCGTCTATTTATTAATGTTGATATTGCAACTATTGTATACATTAGAAAAATATTATTCATATGTGAAAATATTATTTCAAGCGTTTTCAGTAGCTGTATACATTTTCATGCATATACAAATAGGTACATAAATACAACGTGAAGCGTGTATAGTGTATTACCAACTAATATTCGATTACCTGTTATTTATAATGAATTTATTAAAATATATACCTAATTACGACAAAACTTGACGATTACTTAATTTTTGACGACACGTTTGGCTCAGTTTGTAGTGGCCCGGCCCTACTTTCTGTGCCGGCGGTCGCGGGTTCGAGTCCCGCTGGGGGCATTCATTTGTGTGATGACTAAAGTTTGTACTCCAGTCATGGCTGTTTATATTTATAATATGCATGTATTTAAAGTTATATGTGTAGTGTATCAACTATCTAGTATCCATAACACAAGCCTCGTAGCTTACCATGGAACTAGATGGTTCTGTGTGTTACTGTCCCAACATATTTTGAAACAAAGCTCGTACATTTTCTTTTATAAAGTATGATGTTGATTTGAATTAGAAAACTTGTTAACATTTCATTGCTCGTAACTTTACACACCTAATAGAACATGGAATATAGAGGTCATTAAATATCAATCTCTTCGAAAATGACTTTTAAAATGGCCAATGGAATCAGTGAATGAAGTGAGTTGGCAACCTCACCTTTCTATTAAACTGCATCAAAATTGACTGAACAAGCAATAATAATTAAGTATAACAACCTTCGGGATTTACCTACGATGCCGCAGATAGACACATAAATCTACACGTTTTATTAAACTTACGTAAGTTCAATATCAGTATCGGGGTAGGTATTTAGGGTCAACAATGAAATTAAAATATTCATTAAATTAACTATACATATTTATACTTAATGCATAAGATAGTAGTAATGAAGCCCAGGAATCCGCAATTTCCGAATACAATAGACTTAGATTTTTTATCATCCAGACTTGTCAAAATTTGTTATATCAAAGCCTCTGAAAAAAGCCCACAGAGACAGGGAGTGGGCTTTTAAGAAGTCCTTAGCTGACACACAAGAAATAGTACAAGAAAAGGGAAAAAGAAGAAATATTTACAAAAAGAAATGAGGTCCCATCAAAAACATACTGTAAAAATATTGCAAGTCTCGCAACGCATCTCTCTACCGCAAAAAGCTATGAGATATAATGTAAAACCAAGTCGGTTAATTTATTCATTACCTATCTATGGAAGCATCTATCCGACAACTTTGTCATAAATCGTTACCGAATTAGTTAAGTTACAACATTTTATAGTGACCGTATTAATATTAGATATATTTATTTCTTTAATTAATAGAATGACTTGGCCATCGCACATGATAACAGAACCTACAAATAACAAAATTTACCTAATATTAACGTTCTGAGTGCATTACTTATGTATTGTTAGTGTATGCATCAATTTGACCCGCTAGTACTATGTTCCGTTCATTTCAGCCCAAACACGTCCACAGCTGGGCATAGGCCTCCCCCAAAAATTTCCACGACAACCAGTCTTGTACCATCCACATCCAGTGGGCTTCAGCGACTTTGACCAAGTCGTCCGTCCACCTTGGTCATGGTATTTTTAATTAGGACTATTTAAAGTAGTCGACTCTTATGTGATTATGTTTCCGTGCGATGGCCAAGTCACTCTATTAATTAAAGAAATAAATATATCTAATATTAATACGGTCACTATAAAATGTTGTAACTTAACTAATTCGGTAACGATTTATGACAAAGTTGTCGGATAGATGCTTCCATAGATAGGTAATGAATAAATTAACCGACTTGGTTTTACATTATATCTCATAGCTTTTTGCGGTAGAGAGATGCGTTGCGAGACTTGCAATATTTTTACAGTATGTTTTTGATGGGATACATATTTTACAATCTTTTTCTTTACCATATTTGCAATAATTACTTAAGGTATGAACAAATTAAATAATGAAAATATTAAATAGCGAAAAGTTTGTCAAGTAGGTCAATAAAATAGCATGTTATTGAAAGTGTACACACACATATGTACAATAACTTATTCATATTTCTCGGTAATTTCAAATGGTTATAAATTAAACATGTTATTATCGTTTCTCAAAGACTCAGATTTCTAATTTAGATTCAAAACAAATAAGTATGGTCGTCCATGGCGTAAAAGTATTAAGTCATTTTACTTTTGTTGTATCTTCTTTAAGAAAATATTTTTGATTTAATTACGTACAAAAGAATAATTATGGCCAATATATACTGACCAGTTAACTTATTTTCATATTAAAAAAGATCATAGAAATCGATCCAGTGGTTTGTAAGTTATCTATCTATATAAATAAAAATTGAGGGCTAAATGAGTTGCTGTGCGCAAAACTCGAGAACGGTTAAACCAATTCGGCATTTTTTTTTAAAGATTCGTTAAAGACCGAGGAAGATTCTTATGAAAAGCAAAACTGAAAAAAAATCCATTGAATATCGTATATAATACCGTTTGTAACCTTTTTAACCGTATATACATATTTTACTGAAAGGTACATATTTTTATATAATACTAGCATTGTCCGCGGCTCCGCCCGCGTTCAGATGACCAAAAACCAAATTTTAGGTTTTATTCTATTCATATTAGTATACTCTTATATTGCAGTTTTTGTATTTTTTCTCAATAATGAGATATTTTCCCGCGGTAAAAAGTATTTTATATGTTGACTCGGATAACTAGCTATCATCATACCAAATTTCATCAAAATCTCTCCACTGGTTTTTCCGTGATGCGGTAACAGATAAACAGACAGACAGACATAAATTCTGAAAACTATAGATTCGGCCTCTGTATCTATAATAATGTCTTTCAATAAGATTTTCCAAAAAAAATATTTAATGTACAGATTCGGCTTAGGTACAATTTTATTATATGTATAGATGTAAGGATATAGATAAACTTTATTATTTAAACAGAGTAGAAACCCTCCTTTAAATTATTTCGCATGTCCTATAAAATCTAATTGCTATGTGTCGCTATACAGAGCTATTATTAAGTGGAAAGCTCAACAGCCAAACAATGAACAATCACACGACAAACATGCCAGATGGATGACTACGTGGAAGCGGAGTGTAAATTAAATGTCAAACCAGTTGACCTGCACTTCCATTCACATCATCTACAAATGGGTTTTTACATCACCTAGCGAAATTGATCTGAATAATAAATCCTGCGATGGTGGCCTTCGAGAATTCGCTTTATTTGCATCTTATCTATACTAAATTATAAAGAGGTAAAGTTTGTGAGTTTATAAGTGTGTGAGATTGTCAGTTTGTGACGTTGTAGGTGGTAATCTCTGGATCTAATCAACCGATTTAGATGAAATTTGGTAAAAATATAGTTTGGAATCTCGGAAAGGATATAGTATACTTTTTATCCCGGAAATCACCCCTTAGGGTGGTGTAAATGGGGATGAAGGTTTGTATTGGGAAGCAAGCTAGTCTATTATATAATTTTAATGTATATAAAAAAGTTGCACAAATATGTAACTAGGATTCGATTAGTTAGGACACCTGGTACATGGCAATCTAGTAACTATCATAAATGTGTATATTTACTATATATTGATAGGGAAATAATAAATATTTGCTACATATTTCATCTTAGTACAAGCAGGGAGGGCGCCGCTGTGCCACTGTAAACATCGTACTCGTAATTATAGTTTTATTTTTAACTTGTTACAATCTCATTCTAAATATTGCTTAAATTACCTATATATTGCAACATAAGATTTTTAAGTTAAACTCGTATTTCTAAAATCTAGATCATTATATTTTTAGCCAACACATATAATTTATTGGGCGACCATACACACTTCCCTTTTGTAGTTGTTGACAGCGAGAGAGAAATTTTACTGCACGTCCATCAAGATACATCATAAAGCAAACGAAATCAAATATTTCTCTTATAGAATTATGACTCTGGCCCGGCATAAATTCAATTATAAAACCGTCATGTCAAAACTCCACTCGCATAAATTGCTTATCGGAGTACTCAGAAAAATACAAAAACTAATTAAACATTTAGCGAGTGCTTGTTCAGAATCCACTCGAATACATTAATCTGCTACTATGAATTTTGGTTTGGCACTTAGTATTTACCATTTACCATTTTATTATTATAATATTTATTAACACACAGCACCATCTAGTTCCATGGACAGCTGCGAGGCTTGCGTTATGTATATCAGATAGTTGATACACAATGCATATACATATAACTTTAAATACAGGCATATATATATGTACTTTTATACTATCTATACTAATATTATAAAGAGGTAAAGTTTGTGATATTGTGAGTTTGTGACGATGTAGAGGGTAATCTCTGGATCTATTGAACCGATTTAGATGAAATTTGTTAAGAAGATAGTTTGAGACTCTGGGCAGGACATAGGACAATTTTATCCCGGAAATCACCTCTTAAGCCCCCTTAAGAGGTGGGGTTAAAATGGGGATGAAAGATTGTATTAGGAAGCAAGCTAGAGACGAACCCGAGCGAAGCGAGGGTGACTCGCTAGTTATAAATATAAATAATAAATAACCATGACTTGAGTACAAACATCCTTGCTTTTCACACAAATGAACTCCCCCAACGGGACTCGAATCCGCGACAACTGACACAGCAAGTAGGGTGGCATTACAAACTGAGCCAAACGTGCCGTCAAATGTTGAAATGATTTAATAAATAGATGTATTTCTGTTTGTTTTGGAAGTTTGGATTGTACTACCCATTTATGTAACGTTTTATATAGAAGACTATTACTCGTATAAAACTACCCTAATCTCCGAGCCCCAAAATATTTCCACATGCACAATAAATCACGTCGATTAATTACTTCGTATTGTGTAAGATGGACAAAGCAACAAACACAATTCGCAATTATAATATTTTGTAGGCATTAAATTTAAATTTTTACCCGTGCGTTATGTGAGTATTTTTCACTTTTTTGGGTCTGTTTATATATTACGATCTCCAAAGCCTATCATATAATACTTAACTGTGTTTTTTTTTCAATTAGATAAATATTATTAACAATACAATATCTTGATTTAACTTCTGCATCCCAAAGAATTATAATATTTAGCGTATAAAAATCTACATATTATATTATAATAAATATAATTAATTAATATTTGATTCCATCTCATATTAAAAAGTTAAAAACATTCGTCAAAAGGTATTAATATTATAAAAGCGAAAATCTGGATGGATGTTTGTTACTCAATCATCCGAACCCGAGCAAACTTAGAGTGAGCTGCTATGCTAGTCATAGGTATATTTAAAGTACATATTTGCGGATTCGGCTGTCGAATTATATAAGAGTTCATGTAATATGTAGAACTACTGCTTACAAAGGACATTTTTATTAAATATGTAATTATAATATTACATTATATTGTGCGAAAAACCCTCGGCACTGCAGTTTTGTAATTGGCCGCTTTCATATTATTTTAGTCTATTTACCTATAAAATAATAATTTACGTATCTATTTTAACCAATTACTCATATGTTCGATTTACTAAGCGACAATTGAGCGTATAACGGAATAAATTGAATGATTATTTTCATCAAAACATATCTACAAGTTTACGATATTTGATAAATGTGTCTTAAAGGATTGAATTCACGCTGTAAATATCCATTCTTGAAATTCTTCTTGTAAATATAGGTATACATATGAAACAAGTCATTGTAGTCTGTGAATATTGAAATGCATTCGAATTGTTGTCGGCGTCTGTATGACATGCATGTGGCGCCTCGTGCCTCCTTCTAATGAACGTTAAACGTAACGTGATGATAATACTGAATGAAACGATCTGTTCTTCAAACGAGCATTGGTTTCTTATGGCGTGCTCATACTAAGACATTTATTAGACAGCCTAGAATATTTATTACAGATAGGTATAGGTGTAGTTTGCGAACTACACGAGAAACGATTTCTTAGCACCTCCAGGTAAATTTTTAAAAAAGTATTAAATTTCTAAGAAATCTATTGTTAACTGTAACGCTGGCGTGTCCGCGGTCGTGGAGGGTTTAAAGATTTGGGGTTGGGTTTGGGATTTGGGAAAGGGTTATGTTTGTAAGACCAAGTTTCATTTTATATCATTTTCGCTGGTCTTAATACAACATGTACAATCAGTAAGCAATTTAAGTGTAGTGTAAACTTTCGCTCTCGTGAAATTCTATGTTGGGAGAAAAGTAATCACACTACTATCAAAACGAATATTTAATTTTTAATATATCTATTATATATATTATATATTATAATATCTATTATATTGGATTTTTTTAAGAAAATATTATAATAATATTGTAAATAAAGATCCTATCCAATTTTTCTTTTTACAGATGGACACCTAAAAACTGCTTCGAACCTCAACATTTCATCTGCCAAACAAAACTGAAGAAAGTCCCCAAGTCGAAACTAAAGGAACTCCGAAGACGTTACCAGAGGATGGGCAAGATCAACGAAATCACAGTCCCTAGTGTTAGCAGGGAAATGGAGGACCCAAGGTTATTATTTATTTTACTAAATATTTATTATATAGCAGTACTAAAAAAGAAAAAAAAGTTTTAACTTTCACACAATCAAAACAGCAGTTGGCATGGTTCTTATTTTAAAAGGTAATTTCATCTATTTTTTTATTTATTTATGAATATATATTTCTTAGTTTTTATACAATTAATAACTACAGAAATAGAATTCACAATTATATATTAATATAGAAACTTCGCAAATCGCAAGTCACATAATATATACGTTAATTACGTATAATAATAATATCCCATATAGGAGCAAAAATTACAAAAATATTTTAGCTAACTGCTTTTATTGTCGTAGAGCTGCAAATTTTTGTTTTATTACCATAAGAATCAAACAACAAATTGACAAAAAAATATTTACTAATTTAATAATAAGAGTTAATATTTTAAATGTTATATTAAAGGACCAATGACGTCACAAGCAATCCGGTTTTGAACCCCAAGTCCTACGACCTTCACCCGAGCCCGCTGCGCAAGAACCCTATACGCAACAACCCGAAAGCGTACAACCTACGGCCAAACGAACTGAGAAAGCGATCGAGACCCAACGCGCAACGGCGGCTTACTAAGCCATTCCCAGGGTAAACATATATTGATAAAATAAATAATAACTATAATTATTCTTTTAATGGATATGATTCAATAAATTTCATTTTACGGGTAAAGTAGTTAAAAAAATTCAGTGTTATCGATGAATCGGTTGATATCGTTATAATATAGTCATTTAAACCATGAAATAATTTAAAAAACATAATCATTAAATGACCAATGGTAAAAAGAAAAAAAAAGTTTAATATCATAATAACTTAATACTCTTCCTAATAAAATTTGAAAACTGAAGTTTGGAAGCTATATCTCTGCTACTAAGTGCCTATTAAACCAACACTATATTTAACATTGCAGCTACCAATGGAACCGTCGCGACCCCGAGGGCTCTTTCAATTATAACGCTGAGATCCTCCGCTCTGGACGCACCGGGCTCAGTCCTCAACAGGTAAAGGGCCACCTCTCCCGTCTGCAGCACCTGCGAGACCGGCAGCTGGCGAGGCGCAAGCGACTCCGCGAACACGACGACTGGCTTGTCAACGAACCTGCGATAATCCACACACACGCTAGAACCTACACTGTCGACAACAACATAAGTGCTTTACATCCCAAAACTATCGTTGAAGAGTTTGATATGATGCCCCCTGCGCCTGTCGTCGTACCCAGACCGACCCGCGGCATTTGGTAAAATACCTTTAAATTGAGATTGTATTAGTATTCCCGAGTTCCTCAATCGAATCTACGCGCTTCGAAATCCTAAATTTCTTTTAGCAATCAGCAAGCGACCCTTCCGCTTTTTTATTTTTTTATTTTTCGTTGTCGTTTTTTTTTTATTTCAAAAAATGTACAACTTTTTTTTTTCTTTTAAATCACCGCTTAAGTCGCTTAAGTTTTCTACCTCTTTTTTTTCTATTGCGAGAATGAGTTTTTTTTTTATTGATTTTGTTTGATCAATGACATATCACTTCCATGATACCCACCCAGTGCGCAAAGAATCTTATATATATTACTGTAATACTAATTTTACGCAAGTATTTATTTTTTTATGAATCGTTTTTTGTAATTTTAATTTTTAAGACATGCTCCTTTGTGGAGCATCGAGTGAACACTTAGTGAATTGTGTGTACTAAGTCTTAGGCTGTCAAAACGTAAGTTAAGAGTGACTTTCTAGGAATATCGATGAGAAAGGGAGATTCATGTATTTCTTAATTACGATTATATTCATGAATATTTGTATTAAGTCTTCTATTATATATTAATATATAAATTAACACACTTAACACAGTTTTTTCGGATTTATAATCAAAATTACATAGTGTAACGACCTAGTCAGTAAGTTAATTCAAAAGAATGTAAGCATTTAAAATTCACAGCTTATTAACTAACTCACAGTATAGAAATTTCTCACTAAAAACGTTCTCTTAAGAATTAAACCACTTTAAAAACTTTACACATTTAAATAAAATTATAGCCAACTTTATTGCTTTAAGTGTAACTTTAAATTCGTTCAAAAATAAAAATGTGTCGTACTTTATATTGGCATTTCATCGTGAAATAAATATAAAATAAGTATTAAATATTAATATAATTATACGTTCCACTCTGTATATTGTAAGGTGTAATGAATCGCAATTTATCTTAGTTATCGTTCTAGTGCCAATATTAGTCCTCGCATTTAAATATTGACAAGTGTTAATTAAAAATCGACGGCTTTATTAATGAATATCAATTAGTTTTACCAGTTTGATTACAAAAATAAAATTGCTAGTGAAATATTTCGTAATGCAAAATTGATTAATTTTATCTTTAATTTGTGAAAAATAGACAATATTAATTTTTTTATTGTTATTTCAATAATTTTAAATATCTTTTCCAAATTGCAGTGAATACGCACTTGTCATTTTATTTGTAAGATAAAAAAACAAATTCTAAAACTAGTCCGCTCTGTAATAAATGATAAAATAATAAAAAAAATATATTAAAATAGTATTATTTTTTTCTTCATGTTTTGTGTAAGTTAAATTATTTCAGTGATACCACACTTGTTTTCTTAATTATCTTTATTTAAACTTTAATTATTTAATACAAAAGTGACAAATTCGTATTCATAAATAAATGTGAAATTGTGTCAAATAAATTTAAACTCTTTAATTGTAGAATTTAAGAAAATAAATGCATATGAGCAGAAAATATTTTATTCATTTCCTTACATTACAGTAATTATACTTATATAAAATGCGCCATCTGTTATCGAATAGCTGTACTAAGACCTAAAATAAACTTTTTAACATAGATTGTGTAGTTTAAAGTGATAAAAGACCTTTGGTTGACAACTATTTCAAAATATTTTTCATTTGACGACACGTTTGGCTCAGTTGGTAGTGACCTTACTCGCTGTGCCAGCGGTCGCGGGTTCGACTCCCGTTGGGGGCATTGTTTGTACTCCAGTCATGGGTGTTTATATTTATAATATGTATGTATTTAAAGTTATATATGTGTAGTGGTATCAACTATCTGGTATCCATAACACAAGCCTCGTAGCTTACCATGGAACAAGATGGCGCTGTGTGTCCCAACATAAAAAAATATATATTTCGTTTAATTTTATACCGTAGTAATATAAATAATATAAGCTGAATTATATTAATAAAAAATATCATTTAAAGAAGTGAAAGCCGATCAAGTACATTTAGATCCCATATAGAGGTTTCAACATAATTATGTAAGAGTATAGAGAATGTAATATGTAAAGCAGTAAAACACTTTTCATTTTATTTACATCGAACAATACGTAGTATTTTGTCAATTATGTATCTGTAAAATATATAAACCTGTAAGAATGGCCAAATTACTTCATTATAAGGTTTTTATATATCTACTTGTAGAATAGTTGATACGTAACGAAAACTTTTCTGTTTGCAATATTTTTGGTATAAATATAAAATATCGTCGGTACAAATAAATAGAATATCATACAGCAAGCACACTACTATTATTAATGCGAAAGTTTGCAAATTAGTGATAAAATCTGCCAAAAGGTGGCGCTAGCCGTTAAACTCTCGAAAAGTCGATCAAATACGAGTCGGATTTACACATTGAAGATTCCTTACTACTTAACGCTTATAATAGTAAAGCTTTAAATAAATGTTATTTAGTTACAATAAGGATGTTAAAATTTAACTTTTATAAGTTATTTTTTTACTTTCTGTATGTTTATATAATTACTTACTGTTGCACTTTATACTGTTATACTTTAATTTTATTAAAATCTGTTCAACGATTTTAATACCACAGTGTACTAATCCGTAGAGACATCTTACAAAGGCCTCGTGTGGGGCAGTGCCGGATTAACGACGTAGCAAGAGTAGCAATTGCTACGGGCCCCGCGCAAAAGGAAGCCCCGCATATTTAGCCCTGCTCAGAGATGAGCGGGTTTAAATATGCGGGGCCTGAGCATGATTTTTTGAGTGAAACTTATTAAGACGTGGTATATTGAATTTATTTGATGTCACAGAGACGTGAAACATTACACCTTTTTCTACTAACAGACCAATCGGAATCCGCTTATTTTTAAGAGAAAAAATATATAGTGAAAACCTAAAGTTTTATGATTTTAAAATGTTAGCAGATATATAGAGAATTCAAATTCGTAAATGCCCCCTATACCCAACTACCCCCGAGAAATGGGAGGACGCAGAGCGTTGAAAAATAGTTTTTTTTTTCCAATTTCCGCTTTACTGTGACGTTCTATCGAAAAATGTTTTCGACAAAAGTTGTAGGTTTAATAAAAATCTATAACTTTTATAAATAACACTTTTTACAATAATCTCAAAGTTTTCGAGAAAGTTTAGATGGTACTTTGGATGTTTGTAATTCAATCACGCCAGAACTTCTGAACGGATCTGGATGAAATTTGGTACAAAGATATATTATAGTCTGGAATAGCTAGCACATAGGCTACTTTTTATCCTGGTAAAATGTACAGTTCCTGTGGGATAGATTTGTTCCTGTTTTCCAAAATTTCTGCTTGTCCATAATAATTAGAATACGGCGAGTTATTAGATACTGATTGATGTAGCTGCTAACTGAATGTGTAAATACAATTACATATTTTATTCAAATAATATTTATTTAAATAAGGTTGTTCACAATAAAATACCGTATACAATAATTCATCGTATATCTTAAAATCTAACTTGGATAACATGGGTCGTAACCATTTATTATTAGTATAACTAAAACCTAAGATATCCATTTCAAACAATAGTTCATTGACCTCTGGTCCAATCGTTTGACCGCAGTTCTAGATGCCTCGATACCGTTGCCATGGTAACCGCGTGCAAACAAGCAGCAACATATAACCAATATAAGTAGATCCACGTATTATATCATAGTTAATGAACGCAGAGTTCAACGTATACGGCTACTTATTATACAGTAAATTTAAAATTTTCTGTTACAGGAAAATTAACCTTAAGCCTAACCTTAAACGACAAAGCTTACAATACAATATAAATAAAGTAAATAAATCACAGCTACACTATTTACTACTCTTGATATCGAATACTTTAAAAGGTATATATAGTATCGTTAAAGAAAAGGCATAATCCATACTAATATTATCAAGGTGAAAGTGTGTTTGTTTGTTTGTCTGTCCTTCTTTAACGTCGAAACGGAGTGACGGATTGGCGTGATTTTTTGTGTAAAATAGGGGATGAAAGTTTATATAAAACCTACCCTTTCAAAGCGAATCCGCGGGTTCTGCTAGTATTTTATATATATAAACTACATTTTACTGGCATTTAAATAGTAGTAAAGGTAGGAAATGCGACAACTTCATCAAACGTTAAAAAACAAGCCAGTAGCCAAGCCACATCAAAAAATCCCGACAGTGATTTTAGAATATTCAAGATTTTTTTATTTTAACTTCCATCCAGACCTTCCATCAAATAAAAATAAGATTTTTTCAAATAATATTATTAGCGAACTTACACATGTACATACATATGTCAAGCACAAGCTTTGTAGTTTTGGTAAGTTAGCCATGTTTTGTTTTATTTAACAATTCCTTATCCTTAAATTATTTTTAAACGTATAAGTTGTGTGCATTTTTATAATCGCCTCTAAAACCTTTTTCATAACCCACCCGATTGATTCGGACGAAATTTTTTAGATAGAAACACACAAATTGGCGCCTATTATTCGCTATTTTTTTTAATGATTATCGAAATGAATCTAACGACATATGAATCATCAGAATCAAACATACATAACTACAGGTCAAACACAACCCTCCTTTTGGCTTCGCCGCAGTCGGGTAAAAAAGCCATAAGAAAGAACTAGTTCATGACATTGAACGAACAATTTAGCTTATATCCAGCGATTACCCTCGTCTAATGGCAAATTACAGCCTATAAACTTTCACGAAGGCTTTAGGTATATGCGTAACCTTACATCATGTTTTCTTAGTGAATACCAACAGTTTGTACTTTTATACAAGATGCTATATATTTTTATAATTTAACTAGCATTTCCCGCGGCTCCGCCCGCGTTCAGATGACTAAAAACCAAATTCTTAGGTATTACATATTAGTATACTCCAACAATGCAGTTTTTGTATTTTTACTGAGAAAAGAGATATTTTCCCGCGGTAAAAAGTATTCTATATGTTGACCCGGATATCCA